TACATCTGACAATAAATTATGGACTGTAAGTTTGATGCCTGTAATAATAAGCTGGTATGTAACGTCGGCCAGAGTCCCACTGCACTTTACATCCAGACAAGGAGGACAAACACCTTAATGTTTCGCTCCAAAGCCTGAGTCATGACCAGTTTCACACCAGTGTTGGAGACAGAATAAGCTCCATGTTTGCACAGACTGCCTTCATTTGTTAGAGGGGAGATGTCCAACCATAATTAACACAAACATCTCTGCTTTCACTGTCAGTAATGCGGCAGCTCCAGAGATCGAAACACCTAAATCAGCCCTTGGAAGAGTCTAGAAAGGATGGACTGCCCATTGTGGGAGTGAGGGAGTGTTTGCTGAAGACTCTATGTGTAAACTGGTGGTAGCAGCTCTTAACCATTCGCTCTCAGGCAACATCCTGTTTGAAATGGTCGACACACCGAGCTGGTTTTGGAGATCCTTATGTGTTCTGAACAGGCTTCATATTTTAGCCCTTTATCTGGAGAAGCTGTGGACAGGCTGGCAAACTGACAGGCCTTTAACATGATGCTGATACCATATTAAAAACATTCACTAATTGATCCTAATTGTCACACTAGGAAAGGAGAGAGTGAGGAAAATGTGTTGAGTGTAAAGTTGTCAGTCGGGGAATAACACAGGGCTGTGAATGAGCCCCGTCACTGTGATCAGGCTCCTCCTTCTAATCCACCAACTTAGTGTTGATGAAGACTAAACAGAGAGATCACAGCCTTCTTTATACTTGCTGGAGCTCACAGTTCCTCAACACTGCAGATATGACGCCTCTGTTCATCTCAGTGTTGCTGGCTGCTGTGTGCCTTGGTATGAACACAACTCTGGTTCTCTGATATCAATCCAACATTGACATGATTCTTTAACAGCACACTGATACTGTTTGTTGCTGTTTTACAGAATGCAGAGCACAAAAAGACAACGTGCTGCAACCAGAAGGAGACGTGACTGCTGCTGAAGGAGAGCCAGTAACACTTGGCTGTCTATATAACAGCAGTTCATCAAATTATTATCTCTTCTGGTACAAACAGGATGGAAACAACAGCCCTGAATTCATACTGAGCCGCTTTAAGATCGGTGAGGGGAAAACAGAGGACGAGTACAAGGAGAGATTTTCATCCACACTGGATTCCACCTCAAGATCAGTTCCTCTGAAGATCCAGAAGCTTCAGCTGACTGACTCTGCTGTGTACTACTGTGCTCTGCAGCCCACAGTGACAGGAAACACCAAAACTCTGTACAAAAACCTTTGGAGCAAAGACAACAGAATACTCCACAACGTCCACTAGAGGGAGTCACACACTGTTAAACTTCAGTGTGATGATGAAGTCTTAAATTACTTATATTCTACATGAATCAATGAAATATTTGTAATATCTTATAGGTATAAATCATTTTAACAACACTTAGCAGGAAGCCTTTCATTAGGAGGGGATGTCTCTGAATGATCTTCCTCGAGGGTTTTCAATCATGATTTTTAAACCTATAGGCAAAGGGAACATACAGAGATAATATCTTTGTGTCACAGTAAGTTCAAGTGGGCAAAGAGGAACACGAGGGAGTGGACCAGACCCAGAACCAGAGGCATGGCAGGTTCAGTTTTATGGTTTTCAAAATAAAAGAGTACACTGACTTACAGCAAGCTGAGGCAGGCCAAGGTCCACACAGGCAGACACATAGCAACACATCCAAAGGAAGCAGCAATAAACCAAATCTAAACGGTCTAATACATCAGGCCAAAATCCAAAACACAGGAAAACACTGGGAAATGGCTAGAAAGCTTGACATATAGACAAAGACAAGGCAGGCGCACAGACTAAACACACAAGTGAGGGGAGATTAAGTAGACACAGGTGAAACTAATTAGGACAGGGCAGCCAATCAAACGGGCGGGAAAACACGAGGGCAGGAAAGAAGTAAGACAAGACACAGGAGATACAACATAAAATAGAAAATAACAACATCAAAACCCAAAACCATGACACCATGTCAATAATATGGAGTCTTAAAACACATTGTGATTGGTTTATGGAATAGACGATAACTGACTGATGAACTCAGCATCCGGCTGTGAGCTCTATTTTCTTTAAGTTAATCACAAGTGCTTTCACTTTGGCTGACTTAAAGAAAATCAGAAAGAAAGAAAAGCATAATTGCAGAGAATTAAGAACACCAGTAAATATAAATGTCTCGGTAACACTTTATTTGAAGGTGCTTGTAATAAGCAGTAATTAACAGTTAATAAGCAGTAATTAAAAATAATCAAACACTTTATAAAGATGTTTATAACACAAATAAGTGTTAACTAAAGCACAATTAACTCATTTATTATTGATAAGACACTTATAGGCCCTTATTAGGAACTAGTTGATGTTTATTTACCTGTCATAAACATTATTAAGCTGTTTATTAACATTTTATAAGGGCTGGTTATTGATAAATTAACAGAATTGTTATTTCCTTGTAAGACACTTGTAGTGGGTTAGGGTTAAAAAATCTAATATTATAGGCAGCTTATGAAATACATTTTATTAACATTGACACTTAACTTTAGCATGCAGCTAAAATAAGGTATGTAGTTTAAAATAAGGCATGTAGATTAAAATAAGGCAGTAGTTTAAGCTAACATTAGCATGCAGCTATAAAATAAGGTATGTAGTTTAAAATAAGGCATGTAGATTAAAATAAGGCATGTAGTTTAAGCTAACATTAGCATGCAGCTATAAAATAAGGCGAGTTGTTTAAGCTAACTTTAGCATGCAGCTATAAAATAAGGCATGGATTATAAGCTAACTTTAGCATGCAGCTATAAAATAAGGCATGTAGTTTAAAATAAGGCATGTACTTTAAGCTAACATTAGCATGAAGATATAAAATGAGGCATGCCATTTAAGCTAACGTTAGCATGCAGCTATAAAATAAGGCATGTAGTTTAATTGTAACGTTAGCATGCAGCCATAAATAAGGCATGTAGTTTAAGCTAACTTTAGCATGCAGCTATAAAATAAAATAAGGCACGTAGTTTAAAATAAGGCATGTAGTTTAAGCTAACTTTAGCATGCAGCTATAAAATAAGGCACGTAGTTTAAGCTAACTTTAGCATGTAGCTATAAAATAAGGCATGTAGATTAAAATAAGGTATGTAGTTTAAAATAAGGCATGTAGTTTAAGCTAACATTAGCATGCAGCTATAAAATAAGGCATGTAGTTTAAAATAAGGCATGTAGTTTAAGCTAACATTAGCATGCAGCTATAAAATAAGGCATGTAGTTTAAAATAAGGCATGTACTTTAAGCTAACATTAGCATGCAGCTATAAAATAAGGCATGTAGTTTAATCTAACTTTAGCATGCAGCCATAAAATAAGACATGTAGTTTAAGGTAACGTTAGCATGCAGCCATAAAATAAGGCATGTAGTTTAAGCTAACTTTAGCATGCAGCTATAAAATAAGGTATGTAGTTTAAAATAAGGCATGTAGATTAAAATAAGGCATGTAGTTTAAGCTAACATTAGCATGCAGCTATAAAATAAGGCATGTAGTTTAAGCTAACTTAGCATGCAGCTCTAAAATAAGGCATGTAGTTTAAGCTAACTTTAGCATGCAGCTAGAAAATAAGGCATGCAGTTTAAAATAAGGGATGTAGTTTAATCTAACTTTAGCATGCAGCCATAAAATAAGACATGTAGTTTAAGGTAACGTTAGCATGCAGCCATAAAATAAGGCATGTAGTTTAAGCTAACTTTAGCATGCAGCTATAAAATAAGGTATGTAGTTTAAAATAAGTCATGTAGTTTAAAATAAGGCATGTAGTTTAAGCTAACATTAGCATGCAGATATAAAATAAGGCAGGTAGTTTAAGCTAACATTAGCATGCAGCTATAAAATGAGGCATGTACTTTAAGCTAACTTTAGCATGCAGCTATAAAATAAGGCATGTAGTTTAAAATAAGGCATGTAGTTTAAGCTAACTTTAGCATGCAGCTATGAAATAAGGCATGTAGTTTAAAAGAAGGCATGTAGTTTAAGCTAACATTAGCATGCAGATATAAAATAAGGCATGTAGTTTAAAATAAGGTATGTAGTTTAAAATAAGGCATGTAGTTTAAGCTAACATTAGCATGCAGCTATAAATAAGGCATGTAGTTTAAAATAAGGCATGTACTTTAAGCTAACATTAGCATGCAGCTATAAAATAAGGCATGTAGTTTAATCTAACTTTAGCATGCAGCCATAAAATAAGACATGTAGTTTAAGGTAACGTTAGCATGCAGCCATAAAATAAGGCATGTAGTTTAAGCTAACTTAGCATGCAGCTATAAAATAAGGTATGTAGTTTAAAATAAGGCATGTAGATTAAAATAAGGCATGTAGTTTAAGCTAACATTAGCATGCAGCTATAAAATAAGGCATGTAGTTTAAGCTAACTTTAGCATGCAGCTATAAAATAAGGCATGTAGTTTAAGCTAACTTAGCATGCAGCTAGAAAATAAGGCATGCAGTTTAAAATAAGGGATGTAGTTTAATCTAACTTTAGCATGCAGCCATAAAATAAGACATGTAGTTTAAGGTAACGTTAGCATGCAGCCATAAAATAAGGCATGTAGTTTAAGCTAACTTTAGCATGCAGCTATAAAATAAGGTATGTAGTTTAAAATAAGTCATGTAGATTAAAATAAGGCATGTAGTTTAAGCTAACATTAGCATGCAGCTATAAAATAAGGCATGTAGTTTAAGCTAACTTTAGCATGCAGCTCTAAAATAAGGCATGTAGTTTAAGCTAACTTTAGCATGCAGCTAGAAAATAAGGCATGCAGTTTAAAATAAGGGATGTAGTTTAAGCTAACTTTAGCATGCAGCTCTAAAATAAGGCATGTAGTTTAAGCTAACTTTAGCATGCAGCTCTAAAATAAGGCATGTAGTTTAAGCTAACTTTAGCATGCAGCTAGAAAATAAGGCATGCAGTTTAAAATAAGGGATGTAGTTTAAGCTAACTTTAGCATGCAGCTCTAAAATAAGGCATGTAGTTTAAGCTAACTTTAGCATGCAGCTCTAAAATAAGGCATGTAGTTTAAGCTAACTTTAGCATGCAGCTCTAAAATAAGGCATGTAGTTTAAGCTAACTTTAGCATGCAGCTAGAAAATAAGGCATGCAGTTTAAATAAGGGATGTAGTTTAAGCTAACATTAGCATGCAGCTAGAAAATAAGGCATGTAGTTTAAGCTAACTTTAGCATGCAGCTCTAAAATAAGGCATGTAGTTTAAGCTAACTTTAGCATGCAGCTAGAAAATAAGGCATGCAGTTTAAAATAAGGGATGTAGTTTAAGCTAACTTTAGCATGCAGCTCTAAAATAAGGCATGTAGTTTAAGCTAACTTTAGCATGCAGCTCTAAAATAAGGCATGTAGTTTAAGCTAACTTTAGCATGCAGCTCTAAAATAAGGCATGTAGTTTAAGCTAACTTTAGCATGCAGCTAGAAAATAAGGCATGCAGTTTAAAATAAGGGATGTAGTTTAAGCTAACATTAGCATGCAGCTATAAAATAAGGCATGTAGTTTAAGCTAACTTTAGCATGCAGCTCTAAAATAAGGCATGTAGTTTAAGCTAACTTTAGCATGCAGCTAGAAAATAAGGCATGCAGTTTAAAATAAGGGATGTAGTTTAAGCTAACTTTAGCATGCAGCTCTAAAATAAGGCATGTAGTTTAAGCTAACTTTAGCATGCAGCTCTAAAATAAGGCATGTAGTTAAGCTAACTTTAGCATGCAACTATAAAATAAGGCATGCAGTTTAAAATAAGGGATGTAGTTTAAGCTAACATTAGCATGCAGCTATAAAATAAGGCATGTAGTTTAAGCTAACTTTAGCATGCAGCTCTAAAATAAGGCATGTAGTTTAAGCTAACTTTAGCATGCAGCTAGAAAATAAAAAACAATAAAAATATAATAATAGTAAAAGACAACCAGCCGAACAGCAGCAATAAACAGCTGACATAGTAAGACAACTAAGAGAACAATGAAAACAAGAAACAGTCACACACTCTAAATAAGCAACACAGCACAGCCACGAGAGCTGGAATAATAATTAATTTAAATAAGTAACTGAAAGAAAAGCATCAGGAATAATTCTACCAGGGACAACCTAAGTTTGTTTGTGTCTGTGTGCGTGTGGGTGAATGTGTCTGTATGTGTGTGTGTGTACATGTGT